TATATTTGAAGAAATAGTGACAGAAAACTTTCCTAACTTGGTGAAGGAAGAAGGCATACACAATGGAGTACTATGCAGCTGTAAGAAAGAAGGATCTCTTATCCTTTGTGATGACATGGAGAGACCTGGAGAGTATTATCCTAAGTGAAACAAGCCAAGCAGAGAAAGACAAATATCATATGATCTCACTTATTTGTGGAATATAATGAACATAACAGTCTGGGGAATGGGGTAGTCCCAGAAATGTGGAAGTGAGGTACAGACTCAGAATCCCCAGAAGAGGGGGTGGTGGGGGAGGGATAAACCACAGAACTTATATGCATGTATGCATGAAAAATGGACATGGACAACAAAGCTGGGGACAGGGCAGGGAGGGAGGGCGAGGGGTGTATCAGTGGGGGAAAAGGAGAAACATCTGTAACAAAAATAAATAAATTAATTAAATAAAAAAATAAAAATAACATAACATAAATAAAATTGATCATATGACCACATCTAAGTTGCAAAGGAAGTTGGGAAATATAGCTTGGCATTAATACTTTTATTTCAGTATTTCAAGAGATATTTAGATTGACCGTTGCTAGTCTCTATCACAAATATATAAGTACTGAGAATTTTTGTGAAAAATGTTTTCTAGAAGAAATCATAGAAACTGTTAACAAAACTTATCTGTGGGGAAACAGGTGAAAAGTGGGAGATGGAGACATTTTTCCTCTTCACGATTGCCCTTTTTTGCTTTCTTTTTCCTACCATATACTTAGAAATATTATGCATGTATTACATTTATTTATTTATTTATTTATTTATTTACTTTTATAGCAACAAAGGATATCTGGATTGATATTGGAGAAATATTTAAGACCTTTTTAGAAGGTATAAATAACAAGATTTGTAGATCATGGTGTTAAATAATGAGGGAAAGAAAACAGTCAAAGAACATTCTCAGATTTATGATTCAATCATAAGTAGTATCACCATTAACTGCAATGAGGAACACTAAATCTTTTGGGAGGAAAGATGACAAGTTCCATTTTGGGCATGAGTTTTAATGGGCTATGAAATACTTTAAGATGTTTAGTAAGCCTCAGAGGAGGGGGTTTGGGGGGGAGAGATAAACCACAGAACTTACGTGCATGTATGCATGACCAATGAACATAGACAACAAAGCTGGGGTTGGGGCGGGGGGAAGGGGAGGAGGGTGTCCATGGGGAAAAATGAGAAATATCCGTAACAAAAGTGAATTAATTTTAAAAAAAAATGTTTAGTAAGCAGGTGGTCATATGGATCAGAAGCTCATGAGTGGAGCATGGCATAAAATAAATATTTGGAGTGCCAGTGGAGATTGTAATCATGGAAGTAGATGGGAGAGACTACAGAGTGAGAAGAGAAAAGGACCTCTAGAGATATCATGCCAACTTTTATGGGCAGTTAGAGGAAGATAGAACGGCAGGAGACACCTAAGAAGAGTGGCCAGACAGATCGAAAAAATAAGAGTATGGTATCATAATGACCTGGGCCCGAGGCTGAGGCGACTAGATTCCATTCTTATGTAGACCCTTGGCTAAGGTGACCAAATAACTCCATTTTTATTATCAATGGACCTTCCTCAATATTTTTCCAATAATAGGTTAATTACCCCTAGAAGTAAAGAAATTTTGCCTAAGATTATAGTTGCCCCACATGTTGGGAGGCATTTGCAGTTTCCAGTACCAGTATTTGCAGACATTTGCAGGTATTCATGAGCCCGATGAATAGTACTAATTTTGAGTTCTGTAATCGCTGTCACGCCCACTATTGTACCAGTCCTCAGAGGGGAGGGAGGGAGGATGGGGCTTCTGTCTTTTAAATCTGAGGAGCAAGGAAAATCGTGGCTGCTGATCTAAGGGGAGACTATGCCCTCCACAGCCTGCCGGCGAGAATAAAGGACTCCTTTACAATTTGGCTGTATGTCTCTGGTTATCTCACTGACACATTGTAACAATAGTAGGCATGGAGGAAAATGTTTTCCAAAGGAAGATTTGTCCAAAATTTCACATTCTAAGAGGTCAAGCAAAGTAAAGATTTTAAAATATCAGATTTAAAGAGAAGTTCATTGGTAAACATAGGAAGAGCCATTTATGTGGAGTAGAGGAAAGTTGACGCCAGGTAGGAATGAATCGAGGACTGGGTGTTGTTTTTTATTTTATTTCATTTTTGAAATGGGAATGATGTGAGAATATTTAAATATTGACATGAAGAATCTAATATAGAATAAAAGTAATTCTTTAAAGGAATAAAGGTATAAAAGAGATTAACCTTAGAAAGAAGAAGCAGTTCTTCCGTTTTCTTAGAAAAAAAGGAAAGGTGAGATGGGTGTATTTGTCATATTTAGTGACAAAACGTTTCTCAAGTTCCGATCTAAAAGCCATTATGTTTCTCAGTGAAGTAAGACAGATCATGTCCTGAGAATAAAGGGGAAGACTTTGAAGATGGAGTTTAGAGGATTGCGAAGGTTTGAAATAGTTATTATGGAAAATGAGAGAAGAATCTGACTAGAGAACCATAGAAAGATTCTTTACTTAGTTTAATGATTTTTCTCCAGCAGCACCCAGTTGCCCTGAAGCAGACATGGAACAATCACACAGTAAGATGCCTTTGTTTTTTCCAACACTGGGGTTTAATCAGGTGGATGTAAAGGAAAATAGTGCAGGAGAGTTTCAGGTTTTTAGCTGAATATGCAAATATGAGAATATGCAGAGACCTAAGGTAGGTAGAGAAGAGACAGCAGGGTAGATGGGGAGAAAAAATAGACTTGCAGAACCAGTGAAATTAATGGACAAGTAAATAAGTGAGCAACCTGGAAGGACAGGAGGATGCAATCATTGAGTGTAACGTATGATTTTGTGAGTTCAAAGGTGGGGCAGTTTTAGGGGATAACAAGGTCCAGAGTATGGCTACAAAATGACAACTTCAGAGCATTTAGAAATTTTGTGAAGACATCCAGTAACAGAGAGACCAAGTTATTGGACAAATTATAAGACAATGGCACCATTTTGACTGAAAGGGAGATTGGGAGCCAGATGCCAAAATGAGTAAGAAGGCATGATCAGAAGTAAGATAGTATCCTGGGGAGGATTAGAGAATAGTACAACAAAATAATATCAGCCTTGAAGGAGCTTTGGCCGGGTTTAGCTATGGTCCCTAGTCCTTTAGTTCCAAGATGTGGAAGTGAAGGAGATGTGACCAACTGAGTTTTACAGAAAGTGATACAAAGTAACATAGTTTTGCACATAAGGGGATACTTTGAGGCAGAAAACAACAGATTCATGCTTTCTTGACCTTGAATAAATCTAGGAAGTAGTCATAGAGTTTTGGCAAAGACAAATATATTAGATGTATCAGAAGAAGAGACAGATGGGATCTCTAAAAGATAATCTTCCTTGCTGTTTATTGCATTGTATTTTTCTCTAGCCTCCTGGGATAGATTCTTTAAATGTTCTTCTGAAACCTAGATGTTCAGATGTGAAACAGAAGCCAGCTTTGTGGTATTTCTCAATGATAATACAGAAGTAGTGGAAGTGAAAGTGGTTATTGTATGTGGTGTAACTATTCTGGCTGTATCAGATGGAAAGATCAACATCTGTTTGATCTTCTCTTGCCATTGTTCTGTGGACAATGCACAGACTAGGTGAGTCTGCACATGGAGAACTTTGAAGAGAAGAATCTGCTTACAAATTAGAATTGCTAGATTGTCAAACCATGAAGCTAAATTACCTCCTTCATGAACAAAGTGGTGGCAGAAATAGGTCTAGTATAAGCAATGAATGTTTCCATCACCACAAGAATTGTGTTCTCTTTCTGGACCAGTCTAGTTCTGTTATAAATTTTGAATAATGGTCTTCTAATGGACTTTGGGTTGGACATAGGTATAGTTACCCATTAGGCCAGCCAGACAACGTGTCCTTATCTAGGGCTTGGATGCACATCCTATAGGTGGCAATATACTGAAGGTACAGCCAGATATGAGTCTAAGAAAAGTTCCAGGGACTTATATGCCTAATGTTTGTTTTTATAGCTTCCAATACACATTGAGTAAATAAGCAATCCTGTTTAAATAACCAGTATCAATGACCCTCCCCTTGCTCAAAAATATCTTTTTTCCTACCTCCTCTTTCTTATCTTACGTCTTTTATATAAGCTTCCCTCCCTGGCCGGTTTGGTTCAGTGGTTAGAGCTTCGGCCTGTGGACCAGAGTCCCGGGTTCGGTTCCCACTAAGGGCAAGTATCTCAGTTGCTGATTGGCCCTGGCCCTGGTTGGGGTCATGTGCATGGCAACCACTCGAAGTGTCTCTCTCACACTGATGTTTCTTTCTCTCTCTTCCCCACTTCTCTCCAGCTCTCTCTGGAGATAAATGCAAAAATGTCCTTGGGTGAGGATAAAAAAAGAAAATTATATAAGCTTCCCAATTCATATCTACTTTGGGGCCTTACTTAGCTTTGGGCAATGGATGTAATAATTTCTTACTCTCTCCTCTGTTTTATACAATAGGTTAAACCAACCAAAATTTATGTATTTTTCATGTAGACCTCAAAGTAATCCAAGCAGGTAGGTCTTTGGGACAATAAACATTTCTGGATTTTTCAAACTCTTGAATATTAATATATCATTTTCATAGAACTTTTTTATACATTTGTGCCAACCAGAAAGCAGTTTAATTATAAAGTATTCTATAACATCCATTTCAAAGGACATCTTTGCTACAAACTAAGATGAAATAAGCTTTAAAATTCACTCATATTTAAATTACAATATTTTGTTTCAAGTACATGAGGATTAGTTTCAGAAGAGACTTCGGGGGGGAAAAAGAGAGGAAAGATTGCACCTCCAACTTACGTAACTCCTTGAGTCCATTTTCTTAATTAAATCACCTTTATAAACGAATGAAAAATTGGTAACCATATTATTTAAGTGACATAAATTTGAGACTTTTTCTAACTAAATGTTTTCTGCTTTTTTGTAGAGGAAAGCTGAGCAGAAGGCCTTACCAACCAGGAGTAGTTTGTTCTCAATGTAGCAGATATGACAGATGCACAGATTTTCTATGCAGTAAGACAAAGAAAATAACTTTACCACGAGAAAAATCTACTGTGCAAAGGGAGGCAAGAAAGATGAAGTGTTGAACACCAGTTTTTCATTGTCACGCTATTACTGTTCCTTTTATCAGAATGGTATTATCAAAGGAGGGTTGAAATTGCATCATCTTTCTTCTTCTTCTTTTTTTATCCTCACCCGAGGATATTTTTCCATTTTTTGTTCAGGTCAGGTGGGAGGGAGAGAGAGAGAAACACCGATGTGAAAGGGACACATCGAGTGGCTGCCACCCGCATGACCAACCAGGGCCGGGGACAAACTGCAACCAACGTACGCGCCCTCAGCGGGAACCGAACCCGGGTCTCTCTGGACCGCAGGCCAATACTCTAACCGCTGAGCAAAACCGGCCAGGGCGAAGTTGCATCATCTTTAGATTTTCCTAAACTGCACCCCATCTTAAACCCCCATCTTACCTCTGTTCCTTCCCCTAAGATCATACCAAAATGTCTGAAAAAAGAAATGGAAACTAATAGCTATACCTGAAAAAAGCTTCACAATTAATTCCTGAAACTGCAGCCTATTTGTTGAATTTTTTTTTTTTAAAGGAGAGAGAGATCGAAACACCAATTTGAAAGAGAAACATCAATCTGCAGTCTCCTGCGCTCCCCCTACAGGGGGGATTGAGCCCACAACCTGGGCATGTGCCCTGACCAGGAATCGAACCTGGACCTCTCAGTCCAGGGACGATGCTCAGCCCACTGAGCCACGCTGGCCAGGCACAGTAGCCTATTTGAAAATGACTACTCTAAAAGATAAGGTATTCCAAAATATTTATAAAGAGAAAAGAAGTAAAGTAACAAATGTTTAATAGGTTTTTTTAAATTTTTCCCCCAAAATATTCAAAAGTTATAAGTATAAAATATGTTGTACTGATTTATTTTTTAGTTTTCCCAAACATTAGACCATAGAATCCAAAAGTATAATTACTTGTAATATATGATACTTAGAGGAATGTGGTAGGAGATAAATTCAGACAGTAGGGGCATATTATGCTTTTGTGTCAAAGAAACTAGTGGACAATTTCATCGTAATGCCACTTCTGGGGTGAATCCACCCTAATATTTCTGCCCTTGGTTCACCTGAATCAAGGTGCAAAGTCTTGCTCTTCCTCTTCCCCTTTTCTTTCTTTTCCCAAAACATTGAGTCCTAAGACCATTAGGTAGGTCAGGATGACGTAGGCATCCACACAGAGGGTAGCCAGATGAGTCTAAGCAGGATGACAAGGGACCTGTACAGTGGACATCAGGAGACAACCTAAGCAGGATGAGGATGGTGTCCACATGGAAATATGGTCTTTTATAGGAAGTTAGGGCCCTCACAGAGTGAATCAGTGACCCTGCATGACATCAGGGTTGGTATATCAAAGCCAGATCGTGATGAAGGAATATCCGTGCAGGGGTGGGTCAGTATGTGGTATATAAGCCCGAGGAAGGTGAGGACAGAATCCACATGGGGTGGGAGGGAGAAGTCTGGCGTGGAATATCAGAGTCAGAACAGGTTAGGAAGGCATCCAAGGAGGGATGGTCTGGCCTGGTTGTTGGAGCCCAAGAAGAATGAAGAGAAGATACACATGGGGTGGCCTGGCAAGAGGTATTAAAACCTAAGCAGGTGAAGGTGAATCTATTTTGCAGGAGATGTCAGAGTCCAAACTAAGTGAGGAAGGTTTTAATGTGGGATAGGTGGCCTGGCATCAGAGGGGTCAGAGCCCTAGTGGGGTAAGGAGCACATCCGCACATTGGAGAAGTTCAAAGCTGGTTTCAAAGCCTGAGCGGGATAGGAGGGCGTCCAAGTGAAGGGTCAGATTATAGGCTGCCAGATTAAATACAGGATGCCCAGTTAAATTGAATTTCAGATAAGTGAAAAATACTTTTACTATAAATATATCCCTAAAAACGTATCGTTCTCTGAAATTCAAATTTAGCAAGGCATTTGTATTTTAATTTGCTGAATCTGAGGACGACCCCAGCCTGGTGTGGAGAGTCAAAGCCCAAGCAGGAGGAGGAGGGCACCCATGCGAGGGAGAGCGTACAGGCAGTGATGACAGATTGGAAGCATACTGGGGTGCTGAGCAAATAAGTAAATAGATGAAGGATAAAAGGAGGCAGTTTTCTTACTGTCAGGTAATGGATTACAAATATGTAAAGGAAGAAAATTAGCATGACCCTTGTGATGAATTGGAATTCTAGGTATTGGAGCTTAAAGATTTCAAAAAATATATGTAAATGAGTTGCAAATATTTACATATGTATGTTGCACATAAATTACCTTACTCTGAAATAGCCTTAAAACGGTGCCCCCCCCCCCACCCCAAAGCAATGAGCACCACTAGAACACAGATCTTGCTTTCTAAATTGCAGTGTGCACTCAAAGGGACCAGAGCTCGTTGGAGGAAAGTTAGATTCCAGGGCTAGGGCAGGAGAAATATACCATAAATCCAGAATATCTTTTTTTTAATGGTTTTTTTAATTGATTTTTTAGGGAGAGAGAGAGATAGAAACATTGACGTGAAAGAAATACATCGATTGGCTGCCTCCCGCACAACCCAACTGAGGATTGAGCCCAAAACCCAGGCATGTGCCCTGACTGGGAATGGAACCGGGACCTCTCAGTCCATGGGACGATGCTCAATCCACTGAGCCACACCAGCAGGCCCAGAATATCTTTTTATACCTGAAAGCAAGAATGTGCTCAAAGAATGATGGGGCCCAGCCAGTGTGGCTCAGTGGTTGAGCACTGACCCATGCACCAAAAGGTTGTTGGTTCGATTCCCAGTCAGGTCACATTCTCAGGTTGTGGGCCCAATCCCCGGTGGGGGGCATGCAGGAGGTGGCCAATCAATGTTCTCTCTCCTTGATGTTTCTCTCTCTCTCTTCCTCTTCCTTCCTCTCCCTCTTTAATATCAATAAAGAAAAAAAAAAGAGTGATGGGGACATGTAACAAAAGCGACACCCAAGGACACAGAAGCCTTCTTCAAGGGTTCTCACTAATCAAATCTGTGACAGTTTGAGCATGGAAATAATGATAATAGTAATTTAATTATAACTCATTGAATAAAACAGGAGAAACTATGATTTATACTGATATAAATTAATAAATGAATACTTTAAAATTTGGTGAGGAACAGTGTCATTACATATTTCCAAAATAACTTCATAAAAATACTTATTTACTAAAGGGATAAGAGTAACTGCACAACGGAGAAGCCTGGCAGAAACCACCCTATGAAAGTGACAGAGTGAACCTCATCAGTAAGAGAACTCATCAAAACTACACTCCACCTGAGAGGGAGCAATGAAGAGTCCAGCATCATTTCTGTGGTATTCCTGCCAAAGATGCACACAAGGAGGCATATAATAAGTCTAAATTGCCAATCTGTTTCAAAAATTTAAGATTTGGCCCGGCTGGTTTGGCTCAGCGGTTAGAGCGTCGGCCTGCGGTTCAGAGAGACCCGGGTTTGGTTCCCGCTAAGGGCACATACCTCGGTTGCACTTTGTCCCCAACCCCGGTTGGGTTGTGTGGGAGGCAACCACTCAATGTGTCCCTTTCACATCAATGTTTCTCCCTCTCCCTTCCTCCTGCCATCCCACTCTATCTGAACAACAACAAAAATGTCCTAAGGTGAGGATTAAAAAAAAAAAAGATTGAAGATTTGTCTACAGAATAACTGGTTTATTAGTTTCAAAATTTCAAGATTATGAATGTCAAATGAAGGATGAAGAATCATCCCAGACTGAAGAAAATAAAGAGACATAAAAGTGAAATGTAGTGTATAATTCTGAACTTGAAGCTTTTACTATAAAGGACACCATTAGCATAATTGGGAAAAACTGAATGAGGTCTAAACATTAGCTGGTAGTAATGTAACAATGTTAATTTCTTGATTGTGATGACTGTGTTATGATTGTATAGACTAGAGGAACATCCTTGTTTGTAGGAAATACTAAGTACTTTAGGATGGTGAGGTAGGTATCAGATTGGCATTTACATTACAATGTTTCAAAAGCTATTTGTACTGAATAAAATAGCTATTTGTACTGATTGAAACATTTGTAGGCTAGGGATTCTTTTAAGAAATTTTTTAAATTTCTTAAAAATTGCGAAATCAAAGGAAAGCAAATCAATTTGAAAGTTTTTTTGTTATATATAGTCCAGAGGAGAGGAGAGATAAGGCTCATATTGAAGTATTTGTATGAGTAATAGAGATAATGAGGAAAAGTCTATTAATATTTATGAAGTAAAATCGTATGTCTTAGAGTCAAATCTGATAGAAAATGAAAAAAGAGAGAGTCTAATATAAATATCAGTCTTGGGATTTAGATGACGATGCAACTTATTGAGATATGAATTATATGAAGAGAGGAAGCTATGGAAAATAGATGATGAGTTCAGTTGTGATTATCAGCTTCAAATACCTGTTTACCATCTGTGTAGTTAGACTGAAAGCTTAAGGTACAGATCAGGGCTGCTTTTCAGAATCACTATCATATCAATGAAACTAAAAATATAAAAAAGGAAGAAGTCACCTAGGTACAACAAACACACAGACAAGAATAGTACACCAAGAATGGAATCTTAGAGGGAAAAATGAATATGGGGGAAACAGGAGAGAAACAAGGACCAGAGGGTATTCTAGTGCAGTCATTGAACTGCGACATGGAGGTCATTAGGGGCCTGAGAGAGGTTTCAGAGGGCGAGTAGGAGAGCAACCATTTCTTCAGGGCTTGAAAGTGAAGAAGTATAAATATCTACAGCAATACTACTCTGTCAAAAACTTGGTTAAGTATCATCTTACAGGTAGATTCCTACAAAGCTTCTCTTAATTTTCCATTAAAATACCAATAAAGACTCTTTCTATTTAGATAGTAAAAAATGTTTATTTAGTAGTAACTGTGTGCCAGACATTGTACCAGGCGGGGGACGGAGTAAACGAAAAGGAGAGGGACATACTTCCTCTCCTCTCTGTACTTACAGTTCAGCAAGGAAGCTAGGCATTTAAAGTAAGAAACAGGTTTTCCCCAGCTGCCAGTAGGGTGCTCAGTTCTTCTGAGGAAGCTGAGGCCTCGTTGGGGTGAAGCCATCACTTCATGGCCTCAGTCACAGAGCTCTGCATCTACTCAGCCCTGATCCCGCACGACTATGAGTGACGGTGACGGAGGATAAGATCAATGCCCCATTAAAGCAGCTGGTGTGAATGTTGAGCCTTTCTGGCCAGGCTTATTTGCACAGGCTCTGGCCAGTGTCAACACTGGGAGCCTTATCTGCCACATAGGGGCTGGCAGACCTGCCCCAGCAGGCCGTCCTGCCCCCTCCACCGCTGCTGCCCCAGCTGAGGAGAAGAACGTGGAGGCAAAGAAAGAAGAATCTGAGGAGTCTGATGATGACATGGGCTTTGGTCGTTTTGACTAAATCTCTTTTGTAACACATTCAATAAAAAGCTGAACTCTGAAAGAAAAAAAAGAAATAATAAAAAGGATAAAACTATTGTTTTTAAATTTATTTATTTAAAGTTATGTAAATTCTAATATATGTATAGATTCAAGTTATCAACACTACAATCAGAACACAGAAAATTCTGTCACACTGAAAACAAACAAAAAACTTTCTTCTGTTATCCCTTTCTAGTCAAACACTTCTGCCACCCCTAATTCTGGCAACCTCCAAGCTGTTCTTCAATCTTTTAGTTTTTTTCTTTTTGAGAATGTCCTATAAGGAGAATTCTATAGTTTGTAACCTCTGAAAACTGGCTTCTCTTGCTCAGTAAGCTCTTTTGAGATTCTTCCAAGCTGACCTGTAATCAGAAAATTATAAGACACAGGAGAAAGAAATTGAAGAAGATTCAAGTAAGTTGAAGCACATACCATTTTCATGGATAGGAAGAATTAACATCATTAAAATGTCCATACTATCCAAAGAAATCTACAGGTTCAATGCAATTCCTATCAAGATACCAATGGTATATTTCACATAACTATAACAAATATTTCAAAAACTGATATGAAACCTCAAAAGACCCCGAATAGCAACAGCAAGCTTGAGAAAGAAGAACAGAATTGGAGGAACCATGCTATCTGACTATACTACAAGGCCATAGTAATCAAAACAGCATGGTACTGGCATAAAAACAGACATATCAATCAATGGAACAGAATAGAGAGCCCAGAAATAATACCATGCTTTTATAGTCAATTAATGTTTAAAAAAGGAGGCAAAAACACAATGGACTAAAGATAGGCTGTTCAATAAATGGTGTTAAGAAGGTTAGATAGGTACATGAGAAAAATAAATAAAACTAGACCACCTTCTTACACTACACACAAGAATAAACTCAAGCCCTGGCCGAGTTTGGCTCAGCGGTTAGAGCATTGACCTGAGGTCTGGAGAGACCCGGGTTCGGTTCCCGCTAAGGGCAAGTGGATGGGTTGCAGTCTGTTCCCCGTCCTGGTTGGGTCATGTGGGTGGCAACCACTTGATGTGTCCCTTTCACATCGATGTTTCTCTCTCTGTCTCTTCCTCTCTCTTCTTCCCACTCTATCTGAACAAAAAACAAAAAAAATATCCTCAGTTAAGGATAAAACAAAAATAAAAGAATAAAATCAAAATGTATTAAAGACTTAAATGTTAGACTCAAAACCATAAAAATCCTAGAGAATACATAGGCAGTAAAATTTTGGACATTTCTCGCAGCAATATCTTTTTGGACATATCTCTTTGGGCAAGGCAACAAAAGAAAAAAAATAAATGGGACTGCATCAAACTAAAAAGTTTTTGCACAGCAAAGGAAACCATTAGCTAAATGAACTGACAACCCATTGAATGGGAGAACATATTTACCGATATATCTGATAAGGGGTTAACATCCAAAATTTATCAAGAATTTATAAAACTCAACACCAAAAAAACCAACAATCCAATTTAAAAAAGGGCAAAAGACCTGAATCAACACCTCTCCAAAGAGGACATACAGATGGTCAATAGACATATGAAAAGATGCTCAACATCACTAATCATCAGAGAAATGCAAATTAAGCCACAATGAGATATTACCTCACAACTGTCAGAATGGCTATCATCAATAAATCAACGAACAGGTGTTGGTGAAGTTATGAAGAAGAGGGTACCCTTGTGCACTGTTGGTGGAAATGCAGATTGGTGCCACTGAAAAGGAGTATGAAGTTACTTCAAAAATTAAAAAATGGAACTACCTTATGACCTAGCAATTCCACTTCTGAGAATTTATCCAAAGAAACCTGAAACACTAATTAGAAAAAAATATATGTTCGTTGCAGCGCTATTTACAATAGCCAAGACTTGGACGCAGCCCACGTGTATGGTACACTGATGCAGTGGAATACTACTCAACTCTAAAAAGAAAGAAAATGTTACCTTTTGTGACAGTGTGGATGGACCTCCTGGAGAACATTATGCTAAGTGAAATAAGCCAGTCAAAAAAAGACAAGTTCCATATGATTTCACTCATGGGGAATTTAGTAAACAAACTGAATAACAAGCAAAATAGAGACAGACCCATAGACAGAGAGCAGGCCAACAGCTCTGGGGAGGAAGTGTGTGTGTGTGGGGGGGGGGGGTTGTTTGTGAGGGAGTAGAGGGATTGAGAAAAAAGAGAGAGAGAGAACTCATGGACAGGGACAACTGTGACTGCAAGGTTTTGGGGGAGGTGGGTAGAGATAGAAGAGGTATGTGGGAATAAATGTTGATGGAAAAAATTAAAAGAAATGAGAGGTGTAACTATAAATATATTGAAATATTTAATCAAGTGCAAAAGTAAAAGAAGAATGTAATCAATAAAAATTAGTGATGAGAAATTGAGACAGATTAAAAAAAAAAGAAACGCACAGAATGAAGTTGAGAATATATATATAGACTACAAGGTAAAATACTTTTTCAAAGGAGCTTTAAAATAGAAATCATTACAAAAAATACATAGTAATAAATATGGCCAAGCACAAAAGGCTGAATGAAATAACTTTAAAAACCCAGTACAAGATGAGTTCTCCAAAGTGCCAGAAGAGTGATTTCTAAATTTTCCCCTAAGGCAGTAGTTCTCAAACTGTGGGTCGCGATCCCTTTGAGGGTCGAATGACCCTTTCACAGGGGTCACCTAAGACATAACAGTAGCAAAATTACAGTTATGAAGTAGCAATGAAGATAATTTTATGATTGGGGGTCACCACAACATGAGGAACTGTATTAAAGGGTCGCAGCATTAGGAAGGTTGAGGACCACTGCTAAGGGTTTTATCATTGCACAACAAAGCCCCAGGTTGTCATCGGACCCTCTGTGTGTGGTAACTCATTTATCCTCTCACTTTTTTTCCTAGTGCAACCTTTCCAGGAAAGGTCATCTGACCCTCTCTGCCCAGACGGGCAGAGGAAAGACAATCTATTTTCTGAAAGGCATTATGATAGCTTTATCATGGGCAATATAGCAAAAACGGTGAATTTCAGGCTATAGAGTTAACTTTGCCACCTAGGAAATGAAGAGCAACTGAAAGCTTTTGAAAATAAGGGTAAAATAAGGAAAGTGAGTAGATTCAGAAGATTAATCTGCAATGATGGAGTGGGGAGATATGACAATAAGAGATGTAAAATCCTAGCGTGCTGAAACGGGAAGGCAGACGTGGAACGGTTTCTGTAAGATGCACAGTGGTTTAGAGGCAGAATTAGTGCTAGAATTGACATCTCCTCCTATACGTTCATGCTCTCTCTAGCAGACCAGACTGACTTTTACTGAAAGAGGATATATTGGACTTTTTGGCTGTCTGCCGGTAGGAGAGCAGAAATCAAAGACAATAGCATGATGCTTGAGAACTAGGAAAATGATGTAATTGTTGTTGGAAAAATCATACTATATTCTAGAAAAAGGAAAAATTTATGTAATTTTTTATGGACTTTCTTTCTTTTTTTTTTTACCCTAGGCAATGCAGAGCGTGACCAAGCCATATGTATGTATCGTTGTCCTTTATTTCTTGAACGATTTAACTACTTGATGTGAAATCCAGCTCTCAATGGCTTTTTTATTTACAGATTATCATTTTTGGTATCCAAGATGGGAAGTGCCCCGGCCACTTGTGTGTGATCCAATCTGCATATTTACTTTCCTTTTAAGAATACTAAGTTTTATACTATGTGTCACAATTGTATTGATAATACAGTCTCATTTTCCAAATATATTATTGGAAGAACAGATGATCTTTACCCCCGAGGTAACGGAGATAGAGGAAAAGGAAGAGAAAGAGGAAAAAGAATCAGAGGAGGATGAGGATAAAGACGAAGATAAGGACGAGGACAAGGAGGAGGACGAGGACGAGGACGAGGACGACGATGAGGATGAGGATGAGGACGAGGACGAGGACGAGGACGAGGACGAGGACGAGGACGAGGAAGACGAGGAATAGGATCTACCACCACCAAAGAGCAAAAGTATAATACAAAAAAGGCAACATTTTTTTTAAAAAAGAGCTTGAACTTTAACAAGAAAAGTATGTACGAACCACTATTGCAATACCTTTTATTTCCTTCTCCTTTTTTCACTTATTCAACAAATTTCAATTTAAAAAACAAAACAAAAACAAACAAATGAAAACACGTATTTTATAGTAAGTATGGTAAGACAATCCTTGGGCACTAAGAATAGACAAAGATGTAATGACAGAAATGCTAAAAAGGATTTGACATTCTATTAATCTTAAGATGTCACTATGCTATCCTGGTAAAGGAGAAATTTTCCATTTTTGAAATATGTTTCATCTCCAAGGTGTTTTAAATATTTTTAAAGCGGGTTAATAAATTTCTTGAGCATTAATATTTACCTGTGAGGTATGTAGGACCATTCCAAGTTGAGGATAACCATTTAATAAATAACTTTTGGTTTTGTTGTTTTCTCATTACTATCATAGTTGTTATTAGCAATGGTGATCATGGTGGTGGTGATATTTTCCATGTGATATCAAGGCATCGAATATCATTATTTATTTTTGTACTATATATGATTGGAATGGTTTAAGTGCTACTTGTACATGCTATTAGGAGACAGATTTATCATTTCTACTTTATGTTTAATATTTTATAGTTGTAATTCTTTACTAGGCTATATAATTTGTTGCCACTAAGGGCTAATAAATGTCAAAAGTTTACGTAGTTGCGATAGAGAAATCTGACTACTTTTGAATTTAGGTGATAAAATAAATTTTAAAAAATAATTATTTACTTGGAGTTATTTTTTAAAAGCATATAAATTAGTAATGTAAATTAATTACTTACCACTTGTAATGCTAATAGATGAACTGAGTAAAAAAAAACCTAACATGGCAAAATACATCAAATGGTATAAATTCTATGTTTATGAACTTTATTATATTAAAAACCTGTGCTTAAATGGGGCAAGATGAAAATTATGTAAAAAATCAAACAAACAAAACCTCCGAACTATCCTCTCAGATTTGATAGTTTCTGGGATTTGTTTTCATTTGCTTTTTTTTTGTTGTTTTCAAGAGCTCTATGAAGTCAGCCTCTTTTCTCCACAGACTCCTAAGAAACATAATATCCTTAGGCAGAGAAAACTGTTGGTTATCTACAGCGATTTTATTTATTATTGTTATTGCTATTTTACATTCATATACCACTTCATAGCTTCCAAAATGCTTTCACATAATTATTTTATACTCAAAACCACTCTGTGGAGTTAGTATTGCTTCCATTTTTAAGATGAAAAAAAATGACTTTGGATTTGTGAAGTGGATCAATTTAAGACAGAACAAATTAATGTCTGAACCTTCTTATGCATAAGTAGAAATTCTTTACACTGATACCATGTTCAAGTCTCCACATGACTAACTTGTTATGTATCTGTACATCTAACTTCTACTGTTCTAATCAACTGTTGAACATATTCTTCAGGCAATTTTATGGGTTATGATTGCTATAGGCCAGTGGCTCTTAACTGGGGGTGATTTTGCTACTCCACCTCCCCCGCCCCCGAATATTTGGCAATATCTGGAAATATTTTTTATTGTCATGACCTGAAAAGTACTGCTGGTATCTAGTGAGCAGAGACCAGGAATGCTGCCAAACATTTCACCATGCTCAGGACAGCCCCCACAACAAAGAATCATCTGGTCCAAAGTGTCAGCAATGCTGAGGTTGAGAGATTCTGCTGTAGGCAAGTCCCACACTAGACGTGTGTAAACTATGGATGCATTATATGCTATTATATTTCTTTAAGCTCTCATTTTTCTAAAAACTATTCTCCCATTCTCTTTCCTCCTTCCGTTTCATCTCCTTTCCATATCCACCGGTTACCATGGAAGCTGTCGTCTGCCTAGTTTGAGGGCAGACCACTGACCACGGCTCAGCCCAATGAGTCTTGGGCTTGGGGATACTGACAGACCTTCAAGGAAGGTTCTACTTGGCAGCTAGAGTGCTAACATGTAAACTTCTGAGGCTAGTTATCATATTGCACAGAAGGAAAGAATGAAATACAAACAGAAAGAAGCAGTAAAAGGCTATTGTCTCTGATGCCTATTTTTATTCCAACCTACACATACATTTTTTTTTTAATTATGTCCTATCCACTAAGTTTTCTTGTTCCCAGGCTGAGTTGGATTTCTAGAACTGATTCAATTGACAGGATATTCTCACTATAAAATTATTTTTATTAAAATTTGTATTGTTCTGAAACAGCATGAATAATAATGGCACTAAAAAATCTATGGATGACCTTTATAGCATTATATGATCCAAGGAATAGAATGTCTGCTTACATTTTATTTCCCAATAAAACTGTTCCCAGTGTGCTCTCCATATCATCGCCAGCTCTCCCAGCGCACACACCCCGTGTGCTTAGAATTCTAATTTTTATCTTTATCACGCAAGTCACAGGTGGACTCCTTCAGCTAGCCTAAGGGATTATTAGCATGAATCTCGGAGATGTCAGGAAAAGTTACTCTTATTCTGTTTCCATGGCACTGAAATCAGGAATGTACTTTGACCAGGATGTTCTGGCCTCGATAGCTGGAGTGATAGATGAGCATTTGGTCCATTCTTTGAAGTGCTGCGTATTCTGTTCTGCATCATAAAACTCTAAGACTGTTGAAATGCTTGCTTCTGGCCTTGGTAAGATACCATCCAGCAAGTGCCTACTACGTTAGGGGCAGGAATACTCCAGAGGAAGACAGATATGCTCCTACTCCATTCATTTATACTGCAACCTCTGCAACGGTGCATCTGCTAGTGAGGTTTAGCACCAGGAACTTTGCACCCTTTTGGTCCTGGAGAATGTTGCTGATCTTCTTGCCATTATTCCTGACATTCTTTTGTGTTCTTTATGTGAGTAAAACCTGTTTGGTATTTTCTAATGTTTGTACTTTGTCTACCCATCAATCCATTTACATTGCCAATATAGTAGTCACGCAGAGTGGCCGCCATTGGAAATGACTCCATATCCAATCTGGGTAAATCTCTGTGGGGAAAACTCTGGGATAAGAAATGGGACAAAGGTGATATTGTGATACCATATTGGTTTTCTACCTGGTCTTGATTTAGCTAAGAGCTTGAGTAAATGTGAAAGAACCAGTTCACTTAGTCCATAAATATTGACAAAATGTTTCATGCTATCATGAGTCCTCCATTCAAATGGTCAAGGATCAAGTATGCTATTCCCTAAAACCAGAAAAATGTGAAGACTGTTGAGTCTGCCACAGGTTCCTCAATTCCCCCGTAGCAGTGAGCTACAGCGCTGTGTGGTAATAGACACTACACTAAGGGAGGCTGGGGAAAAGCAGGAATGAGCACAGAATCTTCACAAGGAATAACAACATATAGCAGTGTGGGAAACTAGAGTCATCAATGCTGGGTGACAGTAGAGGTGGTAGGACCTGTAGCTATTTAGCATAGCCATGAACCACCTCTACATCATTCAACATAATGTTGCTGGGAAACAGGTTGGTCAGCAGCTGTAGGATGGGGTGGAGTGGGGGCATTGTGACTGTACCTTCTCCCTCCCTTTCCTACCAGAAATTCAACATTTTTTGTCCTGAAAGCAGAAATTGCTAAAACTACATACGCACTCAAAGTACCACCTGAGTGAGGGAAATATGAGTGGGCAAGATTCCTAAAAATATTTAAAATCTGAAGAGTAATAATGATATTCCCCTTATTAAACAGATTTCATAGACCTCATCATTAGAGAAAAACATAATCACTAACCTTCTGACTCATTCCAGTCAGGACAGTGCAGCATTGGTGGCTGGTCTGTCCCACATAGCACTAACCAATGCAGGAAATAAAAGGATACAGCTATACCATATAGGTTAGAACAGCCCTTCTATGTGTCCTGGAAAGAACGTGCCAGTTTGGGGAAACAGAACCACGAAGTTTGCAAAGCACAAAGTCACACAATGGGTCATTGGCAGTGGTGGTGTTTAAGCCATTCCAGCTTCCAAACCTTGGTTCCTGGTCTCCTGTAATATTCCTGCTGGTGACATATCCTTACAAAAGATTGCCTCTAATTTGGCATGTTAATTGTGCCTCCAAAAGACCATTCCAAAGCTTTATTGGGTCAGATGTTTCTGCACTGAATAGTGTGTATAATACAACCAGTGGATTTCATAGTCTGGGCTTCCCTTCTGAAAAATCCTTCATTGTGAAGCGAGGCTTCAGACAGAATGCTAGCTGGTGAGGTCATTTATTTTTGTGACTCTGGTACTCATCAAACCCACACCTGGTGGTTTTGGCTAACACTTTGAGAGAAGAAAAGTCAAATCCATACCCAGAAAGGATGTTAGAATAGGTGTCTCTTCCAAAGAAAATGTACCACTGGCTTTTCCAGGATGGAAGGAGCCCAATGTTTTCAACTTGCCACTAACTGCCCCTTTGTCTCCACAAACATAGAGCTACATCAGGGATTCAGCACCCATCTCCTTTGTTGGTAGATTATACATATAGAGGTACTTAGCTCAGCACTGATAAGTGAAAGTCCATGCCAATGGACCGGTGTGGCATTCATGAATTCCATTTACCCATCATGCTAATTCCAGCTGGACAAAGGACAAGGCTGGCTAATGTCAACTAATTGAGTCATTTGGTTCAATGCCTCGGGTGCACGTTAACCTGTGAAAAATCTCCACACACCATTCGCATTCCTATATCTCCATTCACCTGCCTCTGCCCCAGGCCATCATATTTCTGATCTTTCTTTCTAAACTCCTAACCTTTGGCGAGGCGTTTGCTATTGTCCATGTGTCCATATTTATTCTCATCTCAGGCCACATACGCTTCCATTCGAAGTGCATGACCAAGTGTACCACTCTACGCTCTGCCTTGAAGATCCTCATCGCTGCTCTCTCTC